AGGAAGATTTTAATAATCAAGTGGATAGGATGACCCATTCTGTGGATACCAGTCAGCCTCTTTCCCCACTCACTCTTGTCATCGCCTGGTGGGCTCATGAACCAAGCAGCCATGGTGGCAGGGATGGAGGTTATGCATGGGCTCAGCAACATAGACTTCCACTCACCAAGACTGACCTAGCTATGGCCACCGCTGAGTGCCCAATCTGCCAGCTCAGAGACAAACACTGGGCCCCCGATATGGCACATTCCCCAGGGTTATCAGCCAGCTACCTAGTGCAGGCTGATTACATTTGATCACTTCTGTTATGGAAAAGGCAGCATTTTGCTCTTATTGGAATAGGCACTTACTCTGGATACAGATTTGCCTTCCCTGAGCACAATGCTTTACATTCATGAACTGACAGAATGCCTTATCCTTCACTATCAAGGGACTCACTTCAAAGCAAATGAATTGCAACAATGGGCTCATGCTCATGGAATCCACCAGTCCTACCATCCTGAAGCAGCTGGCTTGATAGAAAAGTGGAATGGCCTTTCAGAAACTCAGTTACAGCATCTGCTAGGTAGCAACACCTTGCAGGGCTGGGGGAAGGTACGCCAGGAGACAGTATATGTTCTGAATCAGTGCCCAATATGTGGTGGTGTTTCTCCCATACCCAGGATTCTCAGGTCCAGGAATCAAGGGGTGAAAATGGGAGTGACACCACTCACTATCCCTCGAGTGATCCACTAGCAAGATCTCTGCTCCCTGTCCCCAGGACATTATGGTCTGCTGGCCTAGAGGTCTTAGTTCCAAAGGGAGGAATGCTTCCACCAGGAGACACGATAATGATTCCATTGACACATCGGGATTCCTCACTCTCAAGCTACTCAGAAAGTGCAGAACCTTGGAGAGCGCCAATCTCATCTTCCTCCTTCTTTCCCCACAGGGGTCAGGGGTCAGAATAAAGGAGAGGCTAGTGAGGCCCAGAGATTGTGAGGGGGCAGCAAGCATAGAAGCAGCTGCCTGGAATGGGAGCAGGTGGGGGCACTGGCTCAGGCTGTGACAGAGGTGCAGGGAGGTGGTACAAGGAAGAAACCCCATGAACGGGGAGGAGAGAAGAGAAAATAAACAGCCTGTGAGGGCCCAGCCTGGGCGCTGTGTGGGACTGTGTGTGTGAAGCCATCTCAGGACCAGGGCTTCTCCGTTCACAGTTGATATGCACAGAAAGTGCCTACAACAACCCTGGATCAATGTGGACTTAACACTTGAGAGTTAAGCAATGGGCATAGGGCACATGTGAGGCCCAGGTCCTGATGAACAGGAGAGGAAGCAGCTCCCATCTCATCTGACCCAGGGACACAGAGAGGTGTGTGGTGCTGTGTGTCCCCAGAATCAGGGTTCCTGTTCTGAGTACTAGGCCTTAGGAGTGAGAAGGGAAGTTGGCCTGTTCATTCTTCCCCGTCTGCTCCCCTCACAAAGACCTTCCCCTCCTGACACACCTGGTTCCCTGCTCCTCCTTCTCCCCAAAGAACCACCAGCCAGTGCTCCAGCCACACACACCACTCTACTCAGGGGCACGCATAGTGTAACTTAATAGAGACAAACAAACTGATACATATTCCTGGGAACCTGAGTTTGGTGATGTCACTGAGGGAAGAGGTAGGGCCAATATACTTACAGCAACAGAGACTGGTACTCACAGAGCGGGAATATTATGAAGCATTAACACGATATGTGACCCATGTAAAATGTCTACGGATAGATGTTGAATAAACATGCAGAGCTGCATGGCATGGTGACTCTGCCTTCTACACTTTCCTTCTTGTCCAGCAGATGGCAGCAGAGCTACTCGGCAGCCTGGAGTCTCCCCAGGGGGCTGCTGATCTCCCTCAGCATCGCCCACAGCCCAACAGGGTCTGTCCCTCACCAGCCGCACTCAGTCCACCATCCTCCCCGCTCTCCAAGCTCCCCACACTGGACCCTCTCAGCCCCTCCACCCAGCCAGGTGTCTGCCCCGCTAAGGGCTGGTCCTTCTGCAGACAGCTCCTCCCTCCACACCCTTCGTCCTTCATGGGGTGAACATCCACTCACGCTTCAGGTCTCAGCAAAGGTCACTTTCTCAGGGGTGCTCTCGGTGATCCCCAGACCAGCTGAGACTCCATTACATGCTCCAGATGCACTAGACACTTCCCTTCTCAGCCCTTCTCTCAATTACAATTAAACCCTTAGTTCCATGATTTTCTCTGAGTGCCTGACTCCTTGTCACAAGGTAAACCCTGTGACCCCAGGGTCCACATGTGTCCTGTTCTCTGTGGAGTTCCCAGGGCCCAGACCAAGGTCTGACACATCATAGATGCTCCATAAATACTCATTAAATGGATGGAGGAAACCACACAATGGAAGCCTGTCACCCCCATGTGACACTTGGTGTCAGATCATGTTCCATGTAGACACAAGGGCACTGGCATCAGCATGGGAGGAGGCCAGCAAGTTCCTGTGGCTGTCCCAGGGTTGAGGTTGTATCCCTCATGAGCCAGGAGTGAGGACAGGGGCCTCCTAACAGTGAGGGGTTGGATCCCCATTCATCCCAGAAATTCATGCTCCCTCCCCATCTCTACCTTGTGAGTGACTTCTCTCCCCAGAGGGCCTGGGCCAGCAGCCTATGTCCTTCGTCTTCTCACAGAGACCTCACCTGGTACAAACTCTGGATTCTCCACCCCAGGTAAAGTTACCACCAGGGGAAGAGGGAGCCCCACCTTGACCTCAAAGGAATCAGGGGGTGACTCCCAATCTCCAGAGTTCCTGGTCTCTGGGGACACCTGGCTGTCGTTCCTTGAAGACACCTAACCACCTCAAGGTGTCTTGGGGATCGATAGGAACTTTCCATCCAGGATGGGACAGGAGAAGCCAGGCTATGCATTTTCTTCCATCTCAGAAGGGCTGAGGGTCCCATAGGGGCCTCCCCTCTTCTAACAGAGGAACCCGCGGGATCCCCTGTCCAAGTCTCCACATGTAGCTGCTCCAGTTCCTGGGCCCTGTGGGGGCCTAGAGACAGAGGGGGACACAGATGACTTGATGCAAAACCCCAGTGCTGTGATGGAGGAAACACGCCATTCTGGGGTCCAGCCCCTAGGCAAGTGCCCTCTGCTAAAAGCTTCAAGAGACACCCCACCAAGCCCCCCTGCTTTAAATATCAGTGAGAGAAAGCTCATCCTGAGATAGCACATCCCCCAGAAGACAGTTCTTCTGACACTAGATCAGGAATCCTTTGGAACTGTCCTCTCCCTGGGCTCACCCTGCACTCAGCGGGAGTCTCAGCCTGGGATCCCCAAAGTACAGGACCCAAACTACCAGTCTCTTAGCCTGGATGTCAGAACTCACCTCTGTCCAGGGCTCAGGGCCAGCTCACACACTTCAGAGCCTGGTCATCACACATGGTTCAGCCCCTGATATCAGCCACCGGTCTCTTCATGCCCTCCAGGGGGTGACATTGGGACATAAGACAACACATAGAAAATTAACATATGAACCTGGTTTTGGCTGAGGAGTTGGAGAAGGAGCCTGATTTCCATCCCTTCCTCTAACAGACCCTTCCGGGCCCCTCCCATGTGCCTGCTGTGTCCTGCCCTCTTCCTTCTAGGGGCCTCAGAGCAGCTTGCTCTTCCAGGGGTCCCTGTGTGGCTTCCTACAACCTGCCTGGCACCACCCATGGGGAAGGTGGGGTGACCACAGGAAAGCCAGTGAGGCAGAGGTCAGAGGCCCCCAGGATGGTCAGGGAGCACAGGGACAGGCTCTGAGCCACAGCTCAGCCAATACACATGGAGAGGGAGGGTCTCCCTGAAACCTTCCCCTGAGGACCAGGGAGCCCACAGCCACCTGACCTCCCACCACCACCGTCCTCTCACCCAGGATATACAGAAAACCTCCCCTTTCACACCCCAGAACTACAATTCCTGAGACACCCTTACCGAGTGTTTGTCCCTGGAAGCGGAGGCCAGGTTGATGACACTAGAGGTGGAGGGCAGTCCCCTCACCAGTCATCACTCAGCTTGCCCCTTCCTCATCCCCAGAGTCATCTCTGTGACCTTCTTGCTGGAAGTAAATCCAACCTTCCCAGAGCATTTGAGGACACGGGGAAGACCCTGGTGCCCAGCTGGGTTTCTGTGTCACAAACAGAAATAATCCCCTGGGTTTGGGGACCCCTGGGTCTCTGTGTGGTGCTGACAGACCCCAAGGCCAGGACACAGCAGAGATCAATGCTGGGGTGGGTGGGTCATCCCTCTCAGGGTCAGGGGTCCCCATCAGCCTTGCTATTGAAAGTGTGCCCCCCAGGCCAGTGTGATCAGCATCACCTGAGAGCTCGTTAGATGCAGACTCTCGGGTCCACCCCACACCTGCCGGGTCAGAATCTGCAACTTAACAGAATCTTCTGACTCTGAACAGGAGAAGGAGAGAGGCTGCCCCACGCCCACAAAATGGGGTCTCAGCCTTTCTGGGTATCCACAAACCTGGACCGCTGCTAAAGTAGCATTTCTAAGGTGTCACCTGGACATTGACAAGATTTATGAAGTTCCACAGGTGATTCCGACACACAGCAGGGGTGACATCCCTGTGATAAAAGTTCCTGATGTAGCCCCAGAACGCCTGCTCTGAAAAGAAAAATCAAAAGTGAAAGAGAAAGGGCTGTGGGGAAGACCGTTCACCCTGACCCAGAGTTGTGGGGACTTCCCAGGACACCAGTGCCCCAGGCTTGTGTTTGTCCAAACAAGGGTGTGTGCATGTGTGTGTGTGTGTGTGTGTGTGTGTGTGTGTGTATGGGGGGAATCACAGCTAAAGAATGAGACATCTCAGCAGTTTCCAGGGAACCAAAATGTAGAAAGAAAGGAAAGGGGAAGGCACGAAGAAGGGAGGCAGGAATGAGAGGAGGGCAAGGGAGAGTGCTGGGCAGAGACCCCGCCCCCACCCATGTGACCAAGTTAGGCACTCCTGACAGGGAAGGAGGCTCAATACAGAGAGCGGAAGGACAACAGAGCTGACTCATCCAGAGCAGCTGCACTTGTGAGCATTTCTGGAGCCCAAGCTCTTCTCACAGAGGGAGGGACAGAGCAGGCCGCAGACACCATGGTGCCCCCCTCAGTCCCTGCCCTCAGAGGGCGCGTCCCCTGGCAAGGACTCCTGCTGGCAGGTGAGAGAAGAGGATCCCCTGAGGGTGGGTGGGAGATAGGACAACAGAGACTGGCTGGGGTCTCCTGGGGAGGGAGGACAGGGCTCTGAGAGGGAACAGAAGACGTCTGTTTGGACCTGAGGGGAGAGGACACAGGGGACACTTCAGAAAAAAACACAACCAGGGGCACTAAACATTGTCCTTACTAATAAACCTCCGAAATTGACAAATAAACACCAGGACATGGAGGGTTTTGGGAACACTCATTCATTAATCCACCCACAAGTATTTGAAGCCTGTTCCAGGCACTGGGTCACAATAAGATCAGACCAATCCCTGCCTTGATGGAGCTCATGTTCTACGGGGAGGAAAGACAGAATGTGATGTCAGGGACTTACAAGTGTCACGAAGGGAACAGAGCAGGGAAAGGTCAGAAACTGAAGACAGGGGTATGTAGAGCAGGTGGTCAGGGAAGTCATCTCCCAAGGATGCCCCCGAGAGTGAGCAGGGCACTGAGGGCAGTGAGGGAGTGAGCCGGGCAGACACCTGGGGAAGAGTATTGGGAACACAGGAAATAACAAGCTCAGAGGGGCTGAAGTAATGGTGGTCATGCTGCTGACCTTGACCAGTAGACACACACACACACACACACTCACACACACGCACACACTCCAAGTCTAAGAGATGAAGAAACTTGCTCAGGACCCAGGGCCTCATCTTTCCATCCCAATACATAGGTCCAAATATTGATTGATCTCTCTCTCGTCCCTCCTAGTCTCACTCTTAATCTTCTGGAACCCGTCCACCAGTGCTCTAACCATTGAATCAGTGCCATACAATGCTGCTGAAGGAAAAGATGTTATTCTACTTGTCCACAATCTGCCTGGGAGTCTTATCGGCTACGGCTGGTACAAAGGGGACAGAGTAGATCCCAGTCAACAAATTGCATCATATATGATAGGCACACAAAATACTACCCAAGGGCCTGCATACAGTGGTCGGGAGATAATATACCCCAATGGATCCCTGCTGTTCCAGAACACCACCCAGGAGGACACAGGATACTACACCCTTCAAGTCATACAGACAACTTTGCTAACTGAAGTAGGAATTGGACAGCTCCGTGTATACCGTGAGTGATTCTTCTCTGACCTCTGGGTGTTGGGTGGCGTGAATTGTACTTCATACACACAGAATTGACAAGCCTGGACTATGTCTATATCCCCCTCTGCATTATGTCTCATGCTGGGGTTTGAGCATTTAGTGTAGGACACACACAGTGGAGACAAACTTCAAAAGATCAGAATACCCTACCCTAATTCCAGCCCCTACAGAGAGATGGAGCAGTCTAATGGGAGTAACTCAGCAGAAGGAGATCGATCAGTCTCAGTCCAGCCCCTGGCCCCCTCTGCATGAACATCACCCTGTGGAAGACCCTGTAGAGCTTGGTCAGGGCCTGGTCTGTTGAGCCACCTGGGAACCTCATAGAGAAGCTCAGCCCTGAGAAGCCCCTGTCCAGGTGCCTATCCCAGGGTTTCTGACTCCAGTGACCCTGGAGAGCCTGTGCCAGGGTTAGATTTTGGCATCCTGGGCAGGACTGACTGGGAGCAACAATTTCCTGGCTGCCTGAGTCCTGAGGCTCCTGAGCTGGTCACCAGCCAGGGCTCAGCCCCAAGAGCTACATCTGGGCAGGGGCAGAGTCTGCTCCTTCACCTGACACTTGGCATGGAGAGCACAGATGAACAAGGTCCCCAGGCCATTAGCCAACTGCTCTGGGGGCATAGAGGACTCCAGAGGATGGTTACCATGCCCAGGGAGGAAGAGAGGACAGAAGATGCTCCTGGGATCTCCTCATCCACCAGGGATCAGTCCCAGGGACATCTCTTTCTTGAACACCATTTATTTGGGCAGCTCCTCCATACTAAGCTTTAGGTCAGGTATTTGGGGGTATTTTATGGTTACTTCACAAGCAACATGGTAATCCAGAGACTATTTACCATTTACCTGATTTTATTCAGTGGAAACTGAGGCACAGGGAGAAACAGTCACTGAATCAGGGTCACACAGACCATGAACAGCAGATCAGAGTCACAGCAAGATCTTAGTGCAGCCACAGCCCTGACCTCTCCACCACCCTGGGGGCCTTATTAGGCCTCTATGGACCCGAGACTAGCCATTGGATTAGATCTTTTCCTCTTAGGGAGCCACAGTTCAAGGTAGAATTTCTGGTCTGAGGATTGAGAGCAAATGGAGAATTACTCTATTTTTATTCAAGAACTAAATTACCTTCATCAACAATCAGAGTCACTGCAGAGAATGTCCAGGCCACCCCCTCAGGTGGCTGATCCACATCTCCCTGCACTGGACTTGAAATCACGTATTTGTTTCCTGATGTGTTGGTGTCACTCCCCTTGGAGTATAAAGGAAAGGACTTTGCTTTCTCACACCCCACTCTACACCTGCAATCAGCATAGGTCCTAACAACTCCATTGCTCTTTCATGAAGGAAGGAAGGCTTGAATGGTGAATGAATGATCCATAATCTCTTCACAGATGGCAACCTGGGTGCAAAGTCCTAGGAGGTTATGGCCACTCCTGTTCCTGGTCTCTCCACTGGCTGAGACTCATGTTCCATCCTTCGGACCACCAGCCCCTGAGTCCACTCTGAGAGAAGAGTCTCATGATGACTGTGGGGCTGCTCAGCCATGGGAGGGTTTTCAGGGCTGTTCTGGCCCTGCCCCTGGGGCAGCCATGGGCTCTTGGTGCCTAGGGTCTTTGAAGTCACTTCTAATCCCTGTGCTCACAGCCTTTAACATTTCTGGCTCTCTCTGCTCCATCCATGTCTCTCATTTTCTGCCTGCTTCATTCCAGCTGGGACTGCCACTCTTCTGCACAGTTTATTCCACCCTTAAGCCTTTACCGGATACTCTCGCTAACACCTGTGGCCAGGTGCACCCTCCCGGGCAATAGTAAAGGACACAGAAATCAGTGGGAGCAGCAGCCCCTTGAGGCTCCATCACGAGCTAGTTTCCCCAGGTCACCAGGAGAACAAGACTCCACTCTGCCGCATTCAAGGCTCTTTCCCTCCATGATGGCAGTAAGTGGAACAAGCTGCGTGACAGGGCCATGTGACCCCTTGATCTGCTCTCTACATGACTCAACCAGGGAGTCAAAGGCAGAAGGACAGGTCTACAGGCCCCAAAAGCTCACAGGCTCATTTCACCCCTTTGACTCCTGACTCACATTCTCATCCTGGTGAGGCTTCCATTAATCTAGCAGTTTCTGAGACCTTCCCAAGGTGGGGCTGGTCAGACCTTGCACCATCTGACTGGTTTACTGCCTATTTCACACATGTGGGTCCTCATGATAACAGCTTTACCATAGGATGCTCTCAGATGGTGAGATCCACCAGCCACTGTCCTTTCACTTACACACTGCCCAATTTGGATGAATTTGACCAAATTTGTGTTTCCTGAGGTCAAAAGAAAGCCACAAGCAAGTGTTAGACCTTCTTCCAATTCTGCCTAACTGTCCATAGAAGTTGGTGATGGGGACCTCTTTCCTAAATGTAACAGATAACATTTTGACTAATTTGATAGCATTCCTCCCTTTATATAACAGACACCTCAGACTTCCCCCTGATCAATTCTGTCCTCTTAACAGGACTCACATGTCTCTCCCTACCAAAGGAGTCACTGATTTCAAAAGCACTTTAGCATCTTCCTTTGATCATAATGTGATCCTGGTTGGACTGCAGAACTTGGTCTACGACCTTTAGTGCTCTCTAGAGAGATATTCCTCCAGAAACTGGTCTTAGATATTTGGGGCATTAATATTAATTTTCAATATGGAAACAATTTAACTTCTCCTCAGATTTCTGTCTCATAATTGTGTTTACAAATGGTCCGTGCAGGCTAGATTTCCTCCCCACTTTCCACTGGCCACCCCTTCTGCAATTGAAAACATCCACTTGTATTTCAGGAGAGATCAACATGGTCCTCATTATCCTCTGCAGTGGGAGAAGGGACTTTAAAGTCCAAGGGCAGAGCACATGGTTCTGCTGCCAAAGCCAGCCAGCTCCCGCCTGTCCCTCTCACTCTTTTTTGGATCATTTCTAGTCTTAACTCTGCTCTACCCTTTATGGAGTCACTGTCTCGTGCCAGTCACCATGGAATACCTGGGCAGACCTGCCCCACTTCATGGCCCTGCAGCCTGAGTACTGAAATGACCTCCAGGCTTACTTCTGATTTCCCTATATGGTATTTTTACCCATATACCCAGTTCCAAGCTAAGCTACTCAGTCCTTTCTGGGTTTAAGAACTATAGGAAGGCCCATCATTACCCATCTTTAGGATAACCATGGAAAGCAAGTCCTCACGGAAAACACATCTGGCTAGGCACAGTAGATGTGTGGGTGCTGAGGCCCTTTCTATTGCACAGACCAGAAAGGGCCTCAGCACCCACATATTTCAGGTGAGGAGCCCAAGGTTGGTCAGACAGTTAGCTGGTCAGTGAAGAACCAGGAGAAGCTCTGGTTGGTTTCTGACTCCCAGTCCTGTATCTTTCCATAACCAACCCTGATGCTTATTTGATTTGGGAAAGTCTGTGAATTCTCCCAGACATAAAGCAGGTGGCTTTACATTCTCTGAGTGCTCAGATCCTCATGCATTTATCTTGAGATACACAGACCTGCCCTATTGTTTTAAGGACTCAGGTTGGCTGAGAGGTAAGAGATGTCAACCCTGACTGAAGATGCCTTTGGAGGAATCAAAGGTACCAACAAGGCAGTGTTCTCTCTGTTATCTGTGCAGGGGAGTTAACCAAACCCAACATCACAAGCAACAACTCCAACCCCATGGAGGTTGAGGACACTGTAGTGTTAAGATGTGAACCTAAGACTCAGGACACCACCTACCTGTGGTTGATCAACAATCAGAGCCTCCCGGACAGCGCCAGGCTGGAGTTGTCCCTGGACAACAGGACTCTCACTTTACTCCATGTCACAAGGAATGACACAGGACCCTATGAGTGTGAAACCCAGAACCCAGTGAGTGCCCGTCGCAGTGACCAATTCACCTTGAATGTTCTCTGTGAGTAACTTCTGTCCCTACCTGGCCCAGGCTACCCACCCAAATCCACACTACCAGAGGCCAAGCCACATCTGTCCCTCTCAGCTCCAAGTACATGGACCTTCATCCCTGGACACCCAGGCTGGCCATGACTTCTTATCCCAGGCAAATTTTGGCAGGCCCCGTCTTGAGCAGACTAGGAGGGGATGGCTGCTCTTGTCTTGAGACATTTGGGGTCAACAACCTCTGATGGGAGAAACAGGTTAATGTCTCAGACTCAGGATGAGTGAACACAGAGAGGTCATGGTTGGGACTTTTTAAAACAAGGTTGTGATCTGGGTCAGAGGGACACTGTGGCCCTTGTACAGACCAGGAAATTCCTCTTCCTCTGATTACATCATGTGTGGCTTTATTCTGTTTGCTCCAGATGGCCCGGACACCCCCATCATTTCCCCCTCAGACTCCTATTACCGTGCAGGGGCAAACCTCAGCCTCTCCTGCCACGTGGCCTCTAACCCACCTGCACAGTATTCCTGGCTTATCAATGGGAGGCCCCAGCAATCTACACCGGAGCTCTTTATTCTCAACATCACTGTGAATGATAGTGGATCCTATACCTGCCTCGCCCATAACTCTGTCACTGGCCTCAATAGGACCACAGTCAAGACTATCACAGTCTCAGGTAAGTGGGTCCCCTGGACCATCGGCACCAGGCTCTGGGGCGGAGGTCGGTCCGGTTTTCAGAAAAGAGCATTGAAGAAGTTATTTCCATCCTGTGTGCATGGACACAAGCAAATCCCAAATCTGCCCCTGAATCCTCCCACAATACCTCTGCAGACTCTTCCTTTCCTTGCTCTCTGCTTTCCCAGGGCAAACGTGGATCCCACCTGGAATGTGGGGAGGGCGTTCTTTCAGCCCCAGAAAGCCCCATACAGGGGACGGGGCTTCACAAAGAGAGAAGGAAGAAGGTCCTTCTGCTCCCATCTCACCTTTTGACTGACTCTGCTCTGATGCCATCTGTGGTGGGACAGGGGCATGTGGAGAAGGTACATGGGCAGCCTGTCCTCAATCTGGCCAAATTGTGCCACCCATTGACACCAAAGCCTTTCTCAGGCCAGGCTTCAGGAAAATGGGAAAAGAGCAAGCCTCAGTGCAGACTCCTCTGAGCTGTGTCACAGCTCTGAAGTCACCAGCTGTATGACACTGTGTGACACCAGCACATACATATACCAAAGGAGAACAATGAATGATTGCGCACACTTGGAAAAATAGGTAGATTCATCCATGGGATGGAAGGAGCAGTGCCAAAAAGTTTAGAGTTTACAGAGAAGGCTAAGAGTACCAGCCTTTTATTAAAACTGTGACCACTTCTCTGTAGAGATTTCCTTCTCTGTGATATTCAGTCCACAGGCCAGCAAGTAAAAGTCCTATTCAGATTGAGAAATTCTTTAGATTGTAACTTCTCCAGGTCCTAAGGTCATGATGACTGGCTGAGCCATGCTCATTCTCTAACAAATTATTTAACAAAAAGGAAACACCTTCCTGGTGACTGACAAACAATAATGTACAATAAGAATTTCACAATAAATAAAAAAAAAAGGAAACACCTTCCCTTCTCTATGTAAAGCTACCACACTAGAGAGGGGACCTGATCATTCATAAAGTCACAGAAAGCTCTCGCAAAGGGCCACACAAACGCCAATGAGAGAAAAATTCCACCTGGTGATGAAGATGCTGGATGTGTGGCCTGGGAAGATGTCCCTGGTGCTGATACTATGGAGATGTCCAAGGGAACAAGTCTTGGGTCATCCTGAGGGGATCTGGGGATCAAAGGAGAAGATACAGCCCCCTCCTTACTTATTGTCACCTGAACGAGACACTTGTCCTTCTGCAGGGGTCAGGGGCATCTTCTGGGTCACCTTTACAGATCTTACTGTGGTATTTGAGAGCTGGATGAGATCTCTGAGGAAAGAGTGAGGCCCCAGGCGCCAGGCCACTCTCAGTCAGTCACCTTCTCTATTTCTCCACAGAACCAGTGGCAAAGCCCTCTATCCAAGCCAGCAACACCACAGTCACAGAACATGAGGATGCTGTGGTCCTGACCTGCCTCACACAAGACACTGGGATCTCCATCCAGTGGTTCTTCAATAACCAGAGCCTACAGCTCACAGAGGGGATGAAGCTGTCCCAGGACAACAGCACACTCACCATAGACCCCGTCAGGAGAAAGGATGCCGGGGACTATCAGTGTGAGGTCTCCAACCCGGTCAGTTTCAGCAAAAGTGACCTCCTCAGCCTGGATGTGAAATGTAAGTGAACACTTGCCCCATCCTATATCTTCCTGGGATGATTACTCTACCAATGGTGTGCAAAATGGATAGAAGTCACAGAGGGCAGAATATCAATCAAGAGACCATTACAGCAAACAGAACTGTAAAGTGGTAAGAGCTCAGTCTCTGAATCAAATACACTTAGTTTCTTATCCTGGGTCTGGCACTTACTATGTGACCCAGCACAAGTTTTTTTTGTCTGTTACCATTTTTTTAATGTGGTAAAATATACATGAGATTTACCCTTTTAACCAGTTTTAGGTGTACGCTTCAGTGGCATTAGTATATTCATATTGATATGCAACCATCACCACTATCCATTTCCAAAACTTTTTGATCTTACCATACTAAAACTCTGTACCCAATAAACAATAATTCCCCACTCTCTACTTCAACTCCTGGTAACCACCATTCTACTTTCTGTCTCTAGAATTTGAGTATTGTAGGTACCTCATTTAAGTGGAATCAGATGATATTTGTCCTTTTTGTGTCTGGTTTATTTCACTTAGCATCAATGTCTTCAAGCTTCCATCCATGTTGTGGCATATATCGGAATTTCATTCCTTTTTAAGGCTGGATAATGTTCTCTTACATATATATTGTCACTTTCTGTTTATCATTCATCCATCTACAAACTTTTGGGTTGTTTCCACCTTTTGGCTGTTGTGAATAATGCTGCTATGAACATGGGTGTACATATATCTGTTCAAATCCCTGCTTTCAGTTCTTTGGGTATACACCCAGAAGTGGAATTGCTGGATCAAAGGGTATTTCTTTGTTCAATTTTTTTGATGAACTGCCATATCATTTTCCACAGTGGCTGCACCATTTTACTTTCCCATCAGCAATGCACAGAAATTCCAATTTCTCCACATCCTTGCCAACTCTTGTTGTCTTCTTTTTCTTTTTAACATATATAATTACATCATAATGGGTGTGAGGTGGTATCTCATTGCAGTTTCGATTTGCATTTCCATAATGATTAGTGAGGCTGAGCATCTTCTCATGTGCCTATTGGCCATTTGTATATCTTCTTTCGATAAATGTCTTTTCAAGTCCTTTGCCCATTTTCTGATAGGATTTTTTGTTATTGTTGAGTTGTAGCTCCCTATATATTCTGGATGTTAATCTCTTAGATATATGATTTGAAAATATTTTCTCCCACTCTGTGGGTTGTTTTTTCACTTCATTGAATGTGTTCTTTGATGCACAAAAGTTTTTAATTTTGGTGAAATCCAATTTATCTATTTTTTCTTTTGTTACCTGTGGCTTTTATCCAAGAAATTATTGCCAATTGCAAAGTCATGAAGCTTTCACCCTATGTTTTCTTCTAAGAGTTTCTGCAGTTTTAGCTTTCACATTTAGGTCTTCGATCTATTTTGAATTAATTTTTTGTATATGGTGTTAAGAAGGGTTCAACTTTGTTCTTTTGCACGGATATCTAGTTTCCCCAACACCATCTGTTGAAAACACTGTCTTTTCCCCATTGAATGGTCTTGGCACTCCTGTAAAAAATTATTTGATGATATACGCGAGAGTTTATTTCTGGGATCTCTATTCTATTCCATTGGTCTATATGTCTGTCTTTATGCTAGTACCACACTGTTTTGGCATCTGTAGCTTTGTAGTAAATTTTGAAATCAGAAAGTGTGAGTATCCCAACTTTGTTCTTTCTCAAGATTGTTTTGGATATTTTGGGTCCCTTGAAATTCCATATGAATTTTAAGATGGATTTTTCTATTTCTGTAAAAAAAAGTCATTGGGACTTTGATAGGCATTGCATTGAATGTGTAGATCTCTTTGGGTAGTATTGTCATCTTAACAATATTGTCTTCTAATTCATGAACACAGAATGTTTTTCCATTTATTTATGTCTTTTTTCTTTTAGCAATGTTTTATAGTCTTTCAGTGTACAAGTCTTTTAACTCCTTATTTAATTCCTATTTTATTTTTTTTGATGCTGTTGTAAATGGAATTGTTTTCTTAATTTCCTTTTCAGATCATTTATTGTTAGTGTTTAGAAATACAAATGGTTTTTGCATGTTGATTTAGTATCCTGCAACTTTGCTGAATTTGTTCATTAGTTCTAACAGTTTTTTTGTGGGATCTTCAGTGTTTTACATGTAAGTTGATGTCATCTGTGAACAAAGATCATTTTACTTTTTCTTTCCAATTTGGATGCATGTTATTTTATTTCTTACCTAGTTGCTCTGGCTAGGACTTCCAGTACTATTTTGAACGGAAGTGTCAAAAGCAGGCATCCTTGTCTTGTTCCCTATCTTAGGGCAAAAACTTTCAGTCTTTTATCATTGAGTATGATGTTAGTTAGCTGTGGGTTTTTCATATATGGCCTGTATTATGTTGAGGTAGTTTCCTTCTATTCCTAGTTTGAGCATTTTCATAATGAAAGGATGGTGAATTTTATTTACTGATTTTACTAATTCAATCTCGCTACTAGTTATAGGTCTATTCATATTTTCTATTTCTTCATGATTCCATCTTTGTACGTTTTGTGTTTCTTCTAGGAATTTGTCCATTTCATCTAGGTTATTCAATTTGTTGGCATATAATTATTCATAGTACTCTTAAAATTCTTATTATTTCTGTAGAATTGATACTAATTCCCCACTTTAATTTATTTTAGTAATTTGAATTTGATTTTAGTAATTTGAATCTTCTCTCTTTTTTTTTAGTCAATCTACGTAAAGGTTTGTCAATTTTGTTAATCATTTTTGAAGAAGCAACTTGCAGTTTTATTGATTTTATTGTTTTTTCATTCTCTATTTATCTCCACTCTAATCTTTATTTCCTTCTTTTTGCTAGTTCTAGGTTTAGTTTGTTCTTCTTTTTCTAGTTCCTTACATTGTAAAGTTAGGGTGTTGATTTGTGATCTTTCTTCTTTTTTAATGTAGGGGTTTAGAATTACAAATTTCTCGCACAAGACTACTAATTTCTCTGAGCTTCATATTCCTCAACTGAAAATTGCAATAAGAGTACTTGCACTTCATGGTATTGTTTTAAAGATTTTATTTATTTATTTTTCCCCCAAAGCCCCAGTAGATAGTTGTGTGTAAGATTTAACGTAATAATCAATTAAACCCTTAGCAAAATGTCACACAAAGTGGAAATGTTCCATAAGTGTTAGCTGCTATTATTACTACTGTTATCATTAGCCTCTATGAAGTCAGGAAGTCCTAGAGTCAAATTCCAGATTGACATATTACTAGCCATATGACCCTGGGTAAACTTTTCACCACTGTAAGCCTCAGGTTTTTTTTGTCTGTAAAACGGAAACAATGTCTATCTGACAGGGTTATTATATGAATCAAATGAGATATATGTAAAGTATACAGCACAGATCTTGGCAAGTAGTTAACATTAGTATTAATCATTATCATTGAGTTGCCTGATAAAGGCAACAGAAATAAAAAAGAAGAAACAGATGCAAAAGGTATTATATATGGGGGGGGGGCACCAGAGAAAAAAACGTTGGGCTTAGTTTCTGACTCAATATGGGAAAGGAAAAAAAGGAGTTGAGTGCAAAATTTCAGCCTAGGATGTCAGTTTTTATCCCCTGAGATGAAGCCAAGATGAAATTAGACACACAAGATATTTATTGGGAAAAATGCCTGTGAGAGAATATAGGACAGGAGTGGGAAGAGCATCGGAAGTTCCTCAGACCACAGATCTGATGCAGATCTGATCTCTGTAAACGAGAAAGAGAAGGAAGAAAGCTTTAGTTGCAGTGCAGTTTTAAGAGAGTGTCTACAAGGCTGACAGGGAGTCCTTGAGCTAAAGTCACCCATCAGAGGAAAATCGTTTCTTGCGGAATTGGGATTGCTTTCATATCCCCGCTGGGAGCCTTTGGGAAGCGTGGTCTCTGTGCAGTGAGCAGTGATGGTGAATGGAGATGGTGCCTTCAGAGTGCACTAGCACAGGCCTCCCATCAATTAAGTCCCCACCACAAGAGACCTGAGAGGCACATACTCATGGCTGCCACATCTGGCACACAGAAAAAGATGCAACCATGAAAAGGTGGGATGTTATAACATACAAAAAGAGCCATCAGCCTTTCTCACATTTCCAGAGCCTTCATAAACATCTGAGTACAGAAAGGCCAGGATGCAATCGAGGCAAGTCTGACCACCAACTTAGAAAGAAATACAGTGAGAGGAAAAAATTTACAAGGACATAGTCAGCTAATCACCCCACAGCAATCTTCCCACAGAAAATTTATCCCTTGAAGGAACAAGCAGAGACTATTCCATGTTGAGAGTTGTTTCCCAGGGCACCACCACTGTAAAATAATGTCACCTTCACTCATTCTCTTTTCTTTCCATGACAGATGTTCCAACACAAGGAAGTTCTGGCCTCTCAGCAGGGGCTATTGCCGGCATCGTGATTGGAGTGCTGGCCGGTATAGCCCTGATAGCAGCCCTGGTGTACTTTCTGTATATCAGAAAGACTGGAGGGTATGATGGCCTTTCCTCATTTTCCGCTTTCTCCAAGGCTAACCACCATGCTTGGGAGAGGGAAGGAGCCTTCAACTCTGTCTCTGGGCCTGGATCTGCTCCTCCTCCTTCCTAAACTTCTGCTTCTCAGCACTAATTCTTGCAGATCTCTTCTTCCCTGGTCTTCATGCCTCCTGTACCCTGCTATCTCTTGGACATGGTTATTCCCATCCCCGTCTGGTTTAGAGGAGGCAGATCCAAGTATGTTTCTCTGTCCTCAGGGAAGCCAAGGGCCAAGAAAGAAAATGAATGAGGAAATGGAACGAGAGGCAGAAGAAAGTGAGCCCTGTGCTCTGTTGGCTATAGGAGCAGAGGGAGGGCTAAGACATGAAGAGAAGCTAAGAAAAAGCAGAAACAAACAAAGGTCTCTTGGGCAATAAATAACGTGAGAAAAAAAACAGCATCTACCCATGAAAGGGGAAAGGTGTCAGAGTAGAAGTAGGCTCAGAAGCAGATCATAAAGAATGGACCTAAACGTGCCTATCCAGCAAACAGGACAGAGTAAACATTAGAAGGAATCATGGGTAGACTGAGGAAGGAGGCCCGCAGAGGAAAGGCAGTACTCACCACGGTATAAATGAACATTGAGGAGCCCCGAGGAATTATCTGCTGACAGTGTCCTTCTCATTCAAGGAGCAAAGATCCTATGCTCGGGAATAGCAGTCACAGTGTCTGATATTTATTTAGGGCAAGTGACCAGCGCGATCTCACAGAGCACAAACCCTCAGCCTCCAATAACAGTAAGTAAAGTCACTCACGTAGTGAGAGCTGGTGTGTTCCACCACATGCCCTGCCCTAGCAGGGAATCCTGGATTCCCAACCACTCCCTACCTTCTGAATCTTTAGAGGGGATCTCTACTTCCCAACCTTAAGTTGGCACCCTTCCTAACCACAAAAGATTACCCTGGGACACAGCCCTGGGAGAGATGCTCACTCTGCCTGGGCCAGACAGGCCAGACTAAGATAGACATGTTTCCAGTACCTATTTCCTCATCCTCCTCCTTCCCCCTTGTGCCTCTTTACGGATGTGGGCATTCTCCCTTGGTGAGACTTTCCCTGTTTTGTGGTGCTCTGGGTGCTGTGGGCCTTAATGCCCCTCCTTGCCACGGAAGCCTGTTGCTGAGAAACACATCAGTGAAAAACAAATCAAGGCCTTGTGACCAGGAAAGTCTTCAGAAGTGGACTGAGGCCTCCTGTGGCTCTACTCCTGCCCCTCTTCTGGTACTAATGTCCTGGGTCTGGACCACACACTCTGGATAGCCAATTCCTTAAGTGATCATGGACCATCTCCCCACTCCACCCTCCCACCACCTGCCACCTCCTTCAGCTAGAAATCACAACAGCTTAGGAGAACCATCATTCTAAGGCCATAAGTCAGCTTTTGCATATTCATGGGTTGGTAACTCTTCTTTTGCTTCCCCAGGTCAGGGCCACTCTGACAACTCCCCTAACAAGGTAAGCACAGCCAGTGTCACTGGTTCACTTTCTCATGGAAATATCTCTGTGTAGCATGGGTTATTCTTAAAGACAGCAAGGTGAGACCAAGTTTGGGTCAAAGATCCTCAGTGCAGCAGCAAACAAAGAAGTGTCGGTAAATGACCCCCATGAGTCTACCTCATTGCAAGCATGTGGACTTTGGAATTATCCCCATCCTGTGTTTGAATCCTGGCTGAGACTCTTAGTACCTCTGTGATCTTGGACAAGTAGCTTAACCTTTCTGATCCCCAGTTTTGTCATCTGTAAATGGGCACGCTGCCTACTTCAAAGAGAAGCTGAAGAATTCAATGAGATACAAATATAAGGCACTCAGCACGGTGTGTAACACAAGGAAGGACTAGATCATTCTCCCTCCTCAACCTTCAGTCTGACTCTGCTCTTACTGTCAAAGGATAATTTCCATTCTAACGAGTCTGAGGTCTTAGTTCCTTTACTTTATAATAATTTTACCAAATTTTTCCCATCTTAACCTTTCAATAGCATACACACGTATACTGAAAAATGTTTAAATCATAAGTATATTTTAACAATGTATGAATTTTCCCAAGTTAAACATACCCATGTGAGCAGCAACAAAATCAAGAAACAACACGTCATCCTCCCCGCAAAAAACCCTCCAGTTACTTCCCTCCAAAGAGTACCCACTATCCTGACTTCCAGTGCCCTAGATTAGTTTTGTCTGTTCATGCTCCTACATAAATGAAAGACTCAGTATATCTTTATGTGTCTGGCTTCTTTCATTCAAACTTATTTTGTGAGATTCATCCACATTGTTTTATGCATTCGTAGTGTGTTCATTCCTGTTGCTGTATCATCTCTCGTATTCCATTCTACGAATACCATAATGTCTCTTTTCCAATGATCATTCACAGGATGTTAGTAAGCAAAGAAATGGGTTATAAAAGCCCTTCTCCAAAGCTAAAAGTTTCAAAGTGGTGATAGCACGTGGTACTAAATCACACTAGACCAGGTAAGGGCCTGACCTATGACACTGATTTAACTGACCACTTCTCACACCTTTCAGGTCGATGAAGTTACATATTCTTCCCTGAACTTCAGTGCCCAGGAATCAAAGAAACCAACTTCAGCCTCCCCATTCCCATCAGTCACAGAAACAGTTTATTCAGAAGTAAAAAAGAAATAATGCAACCTGTCCTGCTCGCTGCACTGCGGACTTATTCCAAGCTTCTCATCCCCATCACTAGAAGGATCCCTTCACCCTCAGGGAAAAGAGGAAGAAGCCTCTTTCCTCCCCTTAATTGCCAAATGAGGCATCGTAAGGCTGCCTGGTCACAGCCCCTCCCTTCAGTGTCAATACATGGAAAAGTACATCTGGGAATCTGTAGGAAACCCAACCTGCCTAGTCTTTGAAATTTGGCAAAGCAGACCTTGGGAGAGAGTTGCCAGAACCTCCCGCACCTCCCCTTCTCCTGACTGAGACTTGTTTTAAACTTACCTATTCAGAGCACACTCACTTTCCCACCCCAGTCCTGTCCTATCAGAGGCTAACTTGAATTTGCCATGAGCTTGGGGTTTCTGTCCTTATCCACTGAAATGCACATGCCAGAAAAGAACAGAGAAAAAGTAGAAGTAAAAAGCTTTTCCTGTCTCTCCAAAGCCCAGAGTGAACCCACCAGACACAGGAAAACAAATATAGAACCAATTCTGAACTGGGAAATTCTACACCTTTCTCCAATGTCAGGGTTGCCTATCTATAGGACCAGGGCCTAAGAACCATCCTGCTTAGCTGGAATACCACCTAAGCCCTTTGTCAACCCTGTCTTCAGAGAACCCACTATAAGCAACTAGGAAAACTATCTACCAAGGTCCATAGGTGAGTCATAATGGAAAATGCAAAAAATATGCATGCGCATTTTAATCACTTTATGGGCTTTATTTAAGTAACGCCCACAGAAGGAGGGGTTACAGCTTTAGGGAGCAGTCAGCTGTTAATAGAGACAGTCTGCTGGGAACTGGGGAAATGAATCAGAGAGCTACCCTTCAGAGATCAAACAATTGTTAAAGAATGCACAATTTGGGGTATTGGGTTTTTTCCCTTTTCTCTGAGACATTTTGCCATTTTAACTTTTGTAACTGCTTATTTATGTGAAAGGGGTTATTTTACTCAGTTTAGCTGTGTAAGCCAATCTGTCTGCGTTAGGTGAAAGAAGCCACCAAAATCCCTCAAGTCCCGTTGGCCAGGAGCTCCTCAAGGCTTCTATGTCAGGGGCTCCAAATAGAAAACAAGAAGCAGCTGTTTTCCTCCTTCATGGCTAGAAACGGATCTCACTCAGTTTCTAGGTTTCTCAGACCAATCACCAGCCACCGTTCTATCCCATGTGTCTGCCTGTGCATGTTCTGTCTGTCTGCCCGCTCACTTTCTCAGGAAACCCTGGCCCTACTAAGGTGCATTTGGTCCTTGAGAAGTGGGAGCACCCTGAAGGGAACACTATCACTCATGCCATTGGCGCTATTTACAACCGAGAAAGCTGCACTGGTGCCGACGCTCCTTAGGACACAAGGGGAATATTATAACTGGGCCCTAGGATTCTTGAACAGCCTCTGAAATTTGTTTTCTCCCAGGGGGTCTATGACTCGTAATGTGTGTTAGGATAAAAGGAAGGGCAGGAGAAGGAGAGGCAAATGTACTTCCCACCCAGCTTTCCACTGTACAGATGGAATCACTTTGGGGCTGTTGAGAGAAAGGTTTTATTAAATATTGATTACTTGGTCTCATGCCGTGTCTAAGAGGGCCCCTCAAAGAGGGTTAGTCAAGAGTTCTCTGTACTCAGGTACCTCTTTCAGGGTTTTCTAACCCTGACACAGACCGTATACACTTCCCCTCATCCATGCTATTCTGTGTTATTTAATTTTGCCTGGCTAAGGCCACTTCTGAATTATTTGCAAAATGTGCTGTATATTTATAATAAAAATTATATATCGGATATCAACATGCTGCCTCACAGTTGAAACTACTTTACACAATGTCTTCTTTACAGGCAGAAGAAAGAGAAATTGCTTGACTGGGCATCAGAGTAAGCCTATTTCTAAGTCCACAGACATTTGATCTAGTGATCAGAGAATTAGTTAAATTCATTTGCACACCTGCTAACAAAGTGGGTCTATCTAGAACCAACAGGCAACAGCTCCAACCTGCTTGAAAGAAAATGCCTGTCTTCCTCCCAGAAAGAAGATGATTTCATGAGGAAAAGATCTCCCAGCCTCTTTCTTAGGGACAAGTAACCCTTCCTGCACAGGTGGCTCCTGTGAATCAGATGCAGCAATACAGCTTTCACTCACAAGGGTCTCCACCAGTTCAATCACATAGAAATCTCTCTAGCACCTTCTCTCTTCCTTGTCCCCAGTTCCTTCAGATGGTCAGATCTCGTCTGGCCTGAATAACGATCATTTATTAATTCCACTAAGTATTAACCTATTATCTCATTTCCTTCACTTCCAAGCAATTGAAACATGTGTGCTGTCTTTCCCCTTCCTTATCACCTCATTTCTCCAGGGCCTCTGCCGTTGTGCCTCCAGACACAAGACTGCTGGAAGCAGCATAAAATCAGTATCCATCTCTTGGCCAGATTCAAAGGTATTTTCACCGTCCTAACATTGTTCACTTTTACAATATCTAAGACCACAGACAACTTTTTCCTTCTTGGACGCTCTCCTCCTTCCATCCCCACCAATGCACTGCACCCCCACACCAGATTTAGTACTCAGACCCTGCTTGTCTCCTTCCACCACCCTCTTTCCACAGCTCAATGACATCTCTGCAGATGCCTCCTACATCTCTATCTCTAGCCCCTGCTACTTCCTAGAACTCATGACACTCACACTCAAATACCTTCAGCCCTCGCCCTTTTGTTTCCCAGGTTCAATACATGCTCAAAACCTATTGATTCTTTTTTAAATATCTCTCAGTTGTATTGTTCTCTCCATTCCCATAAACCCTAATTTGTTGAGAAACAACTCTGCTGCTGGAAGTACAGCTTGACTTCTTGTCTCTGGTCTCTTCACTGAAATCTTCCTTGCATACTACTGCCTCATTACCTTCCTAAAAACTGGTTCACTCTCCTACTCAAGAATCTACAGTGGCCTGCCCTGGCCTACCAGACAACTTCACATTTCTTCCTCTATACTAACATTTCTTACTTTCTTTACCACTACTCTGTAGTATAATTCCTCCATTCTGATTAGATTTGTCGGCTTACCCATCCCTGCCCCTCCACCTCATATACTCATATAATTCTTAGTCCCAATGATATGCCTGCAAAAACAAACACCAAACAGGACAATGTTCTCCCTGTTCTCTCACAGAGGAGTTACCTACACCAGTCATCACAAGCACAACTCTGACCCTGGGGAGGACAAGAACCTTGTTCCATTAACATGTGAACTTTAGACAGAGGACACAATCTACCTGTGACTGGGAATCTTTTCCTGAGGACCAGTTCCTGTCTTCATGAAATCTGACTGAGCACCTACTGTGCTACAAGTCTCAGTGTTAGACTCCATGAAAGATACAGAAATGAGAAAGGCAAGGTCCCTATCCCAGGGAACATAGAGCCTAAGACAGGAGATGAGACAGGTAAACTATAATAATACAAAGATATAAATGGGAAAATGCCACAAGAGAAGACAGAGATATTCAATGAGAAATACAGTTACAAATTAGAATGACTGGGAAAATTTTAAAAACAACTGATACTTAGACCCTACCCATAGATCCTGATTTAATTGGTGTGGGGTGGAACTCAGGAATTGGTAATTTTTTAAAGCTTCCCAGATACTTTTAACGTGTAGTCAGGATGGAGAACCTCTGCTGTAATAGGTAGGACTTGAGCCTAAAGGCAGTTGTTTTTAGCTAAGAGTATGAATCAGAATTACCTAGAGAACTTTTTCAATGTACATAATAAGCCTATAAAACATCCCTGAAGAAGCTGATACAGTATGTCTGGAATGAGACTGGGCTTGTGTATTTTGAAAAACTCCAGGGTAATTCTCATATATATATTGTATTAGGAAACACTGACCTAAAACAGGGAGGATCGAAAAACTGGGGCGTTGGGAGGACATTCCATGAGATGGGCATGAGATGAATAATCTATTCTGCAAGTCACAGAGAAGTATTCAAAGAGAAATTATTGGCAAACAGCTAAACTGTAAAATACCAAGTCTTGTGAGGATGGGAAACAACTGGTATTCTTACATATTGGTGGTGGAAATATAAAATGGCACAACCACTCTAGAAAAGAGTTTTACATTTTCATATAAAGTTACATATACTCATACCGTGCAGCAATCCCACTCCTAGGTATTTACTCAAGAGAAATGAAAATAGATATCCACACAAAGAGTTATACATGAATGCTCATAGCAGCATTATTCACAGTACCCAAAAAGGGGAAACAATGCAAATATCCCTCAACATGGGAATGGATAAACAGAATGTGGTATATCCATACAGTGGAATACTAATTAGCAATAAAAAGTGCACAAAGTACTGCTAGAATAAGATAGATTAATCTCCAAAACACTATGCTGTGCAAAAGAAGCCAGAAACAGAGGAGCACATATGATATGATGCCATTTAAAGGAAGTTCAAGAATAGGCAACAGTAATTAATGGTGTTAGAACTCACCATAGTGGGTGGAATTAACTACAAAGTTGCACAAGGGAGCGTTCTGGGCTGACGGAAATGTGCTACATCTTAATACACATGGTGATTACATGGGTATATACCTTTACCAAAAACCAAATTATACACTTAAGATGTTTACGAATTTCAATGTATTTAAATTTTCTCTCATATTTTTAAAAATAAAATAAACAAAGGAGCCGCTTATGCAATCTACCAAGTAAAAAGCATCTATATTTTCTCTTTTTGCAAAACAAATTAGCACAAATTTAGTAGCTTAAAACCACACCCACTTATTAGCTCAGAGAATGCAGTTTCTTCAAGTTATAAGGCTGAGGTCCTCATTTTCCTGCTAGAGACTGATCTCAGCTACTAGAAGAGGACATTCTCAGATCCCATCCACAAGGCCCCCTCCATCTCAGCAACAGAGAAATCTCTTAAATCGAATCCCTCTCACATTTCTAATCTCTCTGATTTCCTCTCTGACCCCAGCTGGAAAAAACTGTCTGCTTTTAAAAGGCTTGTGTGATTAGATTAACACAACTCAGATAATCTCTCTTTTTGTTAAACTCAAAGTTAACTGCTTAGTAACCTTAGTTACATCTGC